ATGTTGGAATCGCTCTTAACCCCTCTCTTTCTGCTTCCTCTTTCAACGTTGTCTGAGACATCGCTCTGAGGATGTGTCCTGCGTTGGTTGCCAAGTTGCAATTATACCAGTGGAAACCCCAAAACTCCGAATGGTGTGTGCATTTGTACGTGCACTTAACAAATCCAAAGTTCGTGTGACTAGCCGAAATCGGCGAAGGCGCTCTGCGCCAGATAAATGAGGAATGCTACACATTATTAACGTATAGCAGCAATCCATTTGCGCTGATGGCAGCTCCAGATGGTCAGTCTGGACTGTCTAGGCCATGTAAACGCGGTTTTGTCAGAGAAAGACACCTTGAAGTTAGTCGGTTGCGAAAAAGACTGCCCTGACTGAACAACTTGGCATACCTGCAAGCAGGCCCTCTGAATATCCCCCTCGAACATTCCAACTCTTCAGCAATAAGAATGGTTTGTGAAGTTGATTATGTTAAGGACGATGAAAGCTCATAAAAAGTGCGTTTTGCATCAGGCGTTTTGTACCAGAAATAGGTCTGCTAGTGTATTGAAAGACGACGCCGTTGTCCAGTACGTCATGTGACGATATCCAGGCGTGGCAATCATGCCAATCTCTGTGTTCTCATTTATCAGATAGGCCCGAATGCTTCTATACGATCTCTGCTGTGAGTCGCTTTTACTGTCATCGGAAATAGCCTGTGTAAGTGCTTCTCAGTGAGGTTGCTGTGTGCTTCAGAGAAGTGACCTAGAGCTTGATAAATTTATAACAGGAAGGCAGAACGACAAGTCGAAAACACACCAGAAGGTTTTCCTTCCTAACTGCTTGTAAAGGTATTTTCGTGGTCTGTGCCATTATCAAAAGCGAAGATACACTTAGTGTTGCGTTGGTGGTGACACGGCAGATAAACAAGAAGCGCAAACATGACGTCTGATGAGACTGTTAATTTTGTGACACACTGACTATTTAATAAGCTCACAATACTAGAAGAGCGCATAAGGCCACACCAACAAGTAGTGGTCCACTCTATGCACCCTGGCAACTAGTCATCGTGAAGACGCAATTATGGGAACTTCGTGTCGCCTGCATTGATATGTGGGAAAGAGTGGGTTATGCGGAGCGTCGCGAGAGCACCATTGTCGTCACAAGCTGGTCTAATTTTAGCACCAACTGGAATTTCTCGTAATTCTTATAAGACCAAACGTTTAGAAAACTTGGCATGGATTTGCTGTCGGTGTGTAAATGAGAACTCGCCTTTCGGATCAAGTGAGGCTTTTAAAGGTAAATGTTGTGGGCAAACATGAATAGTGAGAATGGTCAATTTTTTAATCCTCCCTTGTAGATTAGTTTCTTAAAATTGCCAAATTAGCGATGTCGTGGCACACTTTTCCTCCACTTGGCAGTCACGCTTTACTCGGTTACCTTGAATTAGTTTATCCTCAAGGTTTCGTGCGACGATTGTGACGAACCCCCCTGTGCTTCTTCGACTGCCCGATTCAGAAGAATGCGACGGCCGTTCACGGGTAGATCGAGCAAGGAACCTCGAGGAGGCTCTTCATAACGCGCAGAAACCCACGACTTAATAAGCCCATAGGTGCTGTCTTGACATTGGAATCCAGATGGCAAAGATGTAGGCCTTTCGTTAGTATATTTACCTTAAAACTTCCATCACACATGCCTCAAATGAAAGTATTAAGTATTATCGAGATAACACAACGACTGTGCAAACTACTACGGCACTCTAAATCATAGTTGCTCATATTCGAAGCCGATAATCTGTTATTGCATTCCATCAGCACCCATAATGATGCTACGAGTGGCAAATTATTTACCAACTACTGACCAATTTGCTTCCAATGCATCAAGAACAATGAAATATGCTCAATTAAAAAGTTTTCCTGGCGCACCAAGGAAAGTGGAAATAAATGCGAAACCAAGCATTTCTGATTTTATTTAATTTCAAAACACAGCTATTATTGCGCTGAAATTATTCCATGCATTTTTTGCTGAAAACTAGCCGAATTACCCATTTTGATGGTCAGAAATGCGGTTGATTTAGGAGTTAAAGCAAATGTCTAAACAGCTCACTTGCTGGAAAGTATATTTCAGAGGCCGATTGAGATGATAAAATTGTTTCTAGGTTTTGAAAACGGGCCTATTTGAGGACACTTTTCACAACGCCACCTTGGTTTGAAAAGCACATAGTGCAGTTTCGACTAAAACAGTCGGAATTGCAAATAGCCATGACATGACATACATTCGATATCTTGAGTTAGAGCAACCCAACCCAGTTAATAATGTGTCTGGCTCGAAGAGCAAATTCTTCGGTTTTGGAAGCATTGGCAGCACCTAAGCGCAACTATTACTACTTAAAACAGGAAGAATTTGTATCGTGCAAGTTTGTCTCAACATTGCAGCATGGCGAAATTGCTCTCTGCAATTGGAATGCAATTTTGATCTGTCGTGAGACTCCGACTAGTCTATTGCCATTTAAGTCAGAGATCTCATTACCACCGTTAAGGAATGCCAAAAATCCCCGAATCCCGAGCAGCTTCATTTGTCAAATCATCCGAAGGCGCCTCAAGACAAAGTAACCCAATTTCATTTTAATAGCCATATCCATTTAAATAGACCTCACTTTGCTTTAAAATAGTAAATTGAAGTTCAGTTTTTATGACTAATATTACAATTATACCTCGCAACTGACCCCTCCTCCGTTACATATATTTTGGCGTTTAAATCTGGGAGGCTCTGAAAAAGTGAATATAGCTTAAAATAAGCACCAATTCGAAGCTAATTTAGGTCGAGTTGAGATGAACGAAAGGGAAGCGGGAAAAACGACTGAGCTGTTTGCGCCGGTGTCAACTAAATCGGTCTTTAGCATTTCACGGCGCTAATCATTGCAGCGAGAGAGACATGAAGAACAATAACAAAATATAAGGAAACACCCGCACAGGGGCTTATTGGATTGCATTTACAAATGATTGTCAAGTTTGCCAGGGACCAACGCTAAAACTCTGGTGACGTCACCAAGATGAAGGCAGTAGTTGCCATTGTGCAGCACGACACAGCACTAAGCACCCAGCGAGGATTACGACAGCAAAGGGACAGAGAAACGTGCTATGAAAAAGTGGTGCAGTGTGTCGGCCGGATTAACGAGAGTGAATCAACGCGATTCACAACAGAATTCTCCCCCTTATGTAGAGCATATGTTTTAGGAACTCGAACTAGAACAGTTACAACCTCGCTTATAGCATGGATCGACTGAAGTGATTTGGAATAATGTACAAGAGTGCATAAACAGCAACACTTACTCAAATGAAATCTTTGAGAGGAAGTTAGACCACAGCCTGGGAAGACATGTACAGCATCGGATGAGTTCTACTGCACAGTGAAGGCCACTCGTCACCTGTGCAAAGGATAGCTTTGGGCAATTAAATAGCTACTTAACAGTGGGACGGAAAAATGTTCACAATATCATAGCCTTTGACACCATTAAATTACTGACCTTTCGGCTGCAACTGTCCCTCTAGGAACTGAGTTGCTACATTATCGATGCGCTGCCTCGACGCACACATAGCAACTTTTCTTGGTTACCTACTACACGTTCAGTAAAATACCGCTGACAGCTAGATTTGCACCCTTTTTATACTACAAATATTTTGGTTAGATTTCACCTACGTAGAGGGAACACGAACTATACTAGAAAGTACCCTTATTAATAGGGTCAAATCAAAACTAGATCACATTCACAGAAGCACCACATCAAATAGGATGACCAGAAATACCAGGTCATCATAATTGGATGCATGCACCCTGATTGAAGTGCAGAGCTAGTTCTCGTGTACTAAACACCTTCCCAGAAAATGTCGATGCGTAAATGCAACATGAGCTAAAATTTCAGCCGTTTAACGTTAACTGTACGGATAGTAGAGCTTTTGGCACTCATATAAACCCTATTAAAGTGATCACGAAAGTCATATATACCTCCTACTTTCTCCGATTTAATTGCCACGTGTTAATCGACCTGCACGGATACTATGCAGTCGAAGCGTCGGTAGCCAGTTTCCAAAAAAGGCCCAACTCTGCAATTATTCCATTTTATCGCGACAAGCCAGAAGGCATCTTGACCGTAACGACACTTAAAACAATCCTGACCACTACAATACTAAGGTACCAAGACGTTTGCAATCGATCAACGTCAATGAGACCAGACTTTAGTAGATTCAGCGCGCCCCATGCCCGACAGTAAAGTAAAAAGAGCATGATATGACGTGCTCAAGCTCTTGGCAGGGCCACCAAGCAATTAATTGATTTCCCTGATTTTCAAGTAGCGGGAACGTTAAAGATAATAATTTGGTAGTAGAATATTAACCAGTAACAGGAGTGGGCACAGAAACCACGCGCGAACACGATGGGAGCACTTTCACCCGTTCTACTCGAGCCAACCATTCAATAAAGTAATGAAAGGTCCACAGCTGAACCGAATCGGCGACACAACGGAACCTCACGATATGCGATTAGCCACCAGTGCCCGACCTCAAAGCGCACGGGATGATGCAGGTTAGACGATATTCGGATAAGACGGTCACAAATTAGTGAAAGCATAGGCGAATGATTAAAGTGTGATTCTACTCCACCAACTTGGCTATTCTAAAGGCATAAACCGGCAGGGAACACGTCAAAACTCATCCTCGCATCAAGACAGGAGTTAGATGACATTACCCGACGGTCGAATTAGCCGATTAAATAGAATGAAGGGAGACAACGACCGTAAGCCAGCTCCGACAACCTACGGAACACGAAGTCACGATGGCAAACGATAACTACGAGTCTCATCAAGGCAAATTCCAGGAAAGGAAGGAAAAAACTTCGGTTGGCTAAATAACTAAACTCATTGTTGAGGAAATCATAGTTTAATAACCCATAAACTCGCGCTACTGAAGCGAAAATGCAATCCATACGAGAACTCAGCGAAAATTTATTTGAAAAAATTGAGGCCGGGCCTAAGCACGAGAGGCGGGGAGGCAGCTCAGGAAGTGTTCAACGGACAAGTCATCCGGGTCGGTTATTTGGACGACACCTTTAAATCCTGTTAGATGAGCCTTAAGAGCATCAACAGAGGATGCATACAACATTCTGGTGCGGACGGTGGCATCAGACGGAATCCTAAAATTTACACAACAAAATAGATAACATACCACGTGACGAAAACAAGGTCGGATTTATTGGCTTCTGGCTCAAAATCAAGGACTGCATAGCGCGCATCTCCACGAAGCTTATTCAACTCTTCTTTGAAGTTTTCAAACGTACAATCTACAGCAACAGTAAAGACATTTGAAATGTTAACCTCTGCAACCAACTTGGTCAACTGTGATCTCCTTTTCCCCATCGATCTTGAACAATATGAAACGGCAAGTTTTCTTTAGCTTCAGTTCATTATATTTAGCAATGCAATTTTCCGAGCATTTTACACCTGAAGCCTATACAGAGACAAAGTAAGAAAGAACACAACCAAACCATAGTCTAGCACCAATTCAAACGACAAGAAATGGGCGGTCATCAGCAACACAGTATAACAAATTTCCACTAAATTCTCATGTATTTCAAAATATTTGTCAAAGTTAGGCAAAGTGTTATATTTCTGTAACCAACGATAAAATTTAGAAAACTAGAAGGTGTTAAAACTACGTGGATGCACAGTCCTGTTTCTAGTACAGTAGTACCTATACGAATTAAAAAGACAGCTAGACAAATTTTCTAGGTTGGTGTGAGCATATTACGGAAAAGATAAAGCGGACTTCTATGAAAATTTAACTAAAATTTATTGTAAAACAGAATAGCAGTCAAACATCACAGTAATGTCGTGGACCTAATGAGAGAATTTAATCGTCTCACATAAATAAGGACCGTAGATATTGTTAAGTTTGTTGTTATTCAGTGTAGCATTTTGGTTCAAGGTCCCTGTGTGCTCGTTTACATGTTTTATCACATGATTCTGACAAAGAATAAACTGTGTCCGTCAAATGATCATAAAACAAGAAAATGCTATTTAATTTGTTCTGTTCGCGGAAGCCCGGTTGCCTATGATTTCAACTGACGACAAGCATGCCAGTAATCCAAATCACATATTTATTGAGAATCAAAAAAATCTTTAAATAGATAGTTTAGATTGCTTATTAACAAAGGACGACCAGACTTGCCCTTTTCGTTGTCCTAAAACTAGTCTTCCTTTCTCTACATTAGTTGCATCTTAATCAGACCGAACAAGGCAGTTGCGAATTTTGGAGGAAGAACTTACCACGAACCGCCTTGGCAGTTTCACACACCGTGTAGCGCAAAAGCCAACCCTTCTGCCGTTTCCACTCTTACAATAAAATCTTTTTTTGGCGCTGAAGGAAAAACCCACGCCCCACAAACTTAGATCGCGCAGCAAGCGGGCGCCTTTAGAGGACAAATCAAGGACGCTTAGAACTATTCATAATGGGCATTTAACGTTCTCATAAACCGGATAAATTCTGACATCTGCTCACAAAACTAGAACAATCTGAAAGCAGGAAAGTGAAAAATAGTTTTGTTTATTAACTTTAAAATAAGTCAAATATGTTTGTAGATGTGAGTAGAATAATTGAGTAGACATGATGCAGGGTTCACTTTCGTCGTTGTCTTCATCTTCATTCTCCAAATTGGGCCAGTCGGGATAAAATTGACAGAATTCACTCCACCATCACCATTGTAGGCTTTGAAGGGAAGAAGAGAAAAGATCGTGAGTTAAAATGGATGTAGTAGAAACCCGAGATGATGTGAAAGCAGAAAAATATACGAACGAGTCAAAGCAGGAAGGGCGCTTTTGTCCGGACAACACAAACAACATGGCGCTGGTTTTGGCAAAATAGAGTACACAAAAGTAGGATTGGGGGAGTGGTGTGGAGTGTGGACCAAGAAAGACTGGCGCGATCGGTCAAATTTCCCAATAAAATAGGATCTCCTTGTTTAGTGGATTCAAAAAATAGGTGTGCACGGGATATTTGTCTATTGGTCTTTGTTGCTGTGTGGTGGAGAGTTACGTTGTGGCCCTGGCAGCAGATGCACCGTGGCATTTCATGTGAGCATTTCTGCTCTTCACTTTAGCAAAGGAGCGGCCACAATGGCGACAGGGGAAATTGCCCTCTTCTTGTGAATGCGGCGGCAAATGGTCATCGAGAAGCGGTTCTCCGTACTCGTTGGAATTCGGATTCTGCTAAAAAAATAATTGCTGCTAACAACTTCACGTCGATACGTAGATATGAATAAAAATTATGCATAATTCGTAAATTCAAAAATTGGTTAATTTGAGCCTCTGTTTACGAAATGGGAAACTTACAACATTTGGTGGTATTTCACTCAGGATGTCACTACCTCCACCATTCGTGTGCTTTCTTCGCAAATTATAGGTCGTCCCATCACTGGATGCATCGACCTCCAACGCCTGCATTCCAAGGTCAAAGGACCCGTGGTTGTCCAAGTCGGCGAGATCACACAGATCACTTGATGGTTGTGGCTCCTCCAGCAGCAACCTTTCACTTCGTGTTGGAACGACCCTACGCTGAATGCGGCCACGATAGCTGGAAAATCAAGTGCAAAAGAAACAATTTGAGGGAAATTAATGTGAACGCAAGTGATCGCAGGAAATGCTTCACGTGGCAAACAAATTGTGGTGCTCACAGAACTGCACAGCGTGCCAAAGAGCCTGGCGTTAATGCTAGAGGGCCCCTATAAAGTGGTTAGCCAGCACGTGAAACACTAATGAATGTCAAATGCAAAGTGAAAATTCCACTGGTAGGCCCTAGATTACCCGGCTACACAGACCTCTTGAGAAAAGGACCACATTAAGGTGCTACTGTCTAATTCAATAAGTCACATTCCTAAGATGCAACAGTAATGGCATGAAGTAACATTCAAACCACGAGAGAATTTACGTAGGAGTCGTGAGACTTTGTACCAAACTACCTCTATACGGAGCAGATAACAGCTGTGCGAAGCCAAGAGCGCTGTGCAGCACAAACCCTACGCAATCAGATGTGCACCAGTAATCGCATGAAAGGCTAACCGAATCTGCGTCCGTCGATTATTAGAGGAATGACACGCAGTGAATAACATATCAAGCACACGGAAGTCTACTCCAACACCCATCCGCCTTGAAAGTGTGCTTGGAAGACTCATAAATAGGATACAATTTGTGACGCTTAGTTCGATGACAGTAAAGGTCTGGGAGAATGCTTACCGATTAACCTCGTGTGGGGTGTTCATACGCTTCCACACATAGTAGAATTCTACACAAGCTTTGACAGATTTGTTCATACCATAGGCACGAAGTTCTGCTGACACATGATGAAAATCCTTATCGTGGCGACGAAGACTACTCTGGAATTTCTCGATCTCTTCTGTTGTCCAGTACTCCGTCTCTGAAAGAACAACCAATAAACAAACCGTGTTCAGTTTTGGTATTAGGGGTAAGGGGGGATGAAGGAGTGGAATTCCTTTTGCATAGCAAAACGACAACAGAAAGGTGAGCGAAAGCAACCAGGAAGCCAACACACCTGAGTAAACTCGATCGAAAATAGTGAAGGACTCGTGAAGCAGGGCGCGTAAAGTGGTCTCAAAGTCCCCTTGGAACTTGCAAAGCAAGTGAAAAGTGTACTCCATGTTGAGACCGCAATTTCGTACCACTGAAGAACGGGCGAGATTCATTAGATTCGCCACTAGGAAGAAAATGATGCTTTGGTCACACCCGGCATTCCTTATTTGCATGCGAAACTAAACAAACGTTAGGTTTTAAGTGGACAGCAGTGTCGCTCATTGGCACAACCAAAACCTCACGACCAAAACCAGGGGAATACGAAAATATCGGGACTTGCAATCGTACAAGAGTGATCTTTAGGTTAATATTGCTTTAAATTGCTTCCAGTTTTTGTGGGCGCGCTCATGTGTCTCATGGAGATCGTGCCGAAACGCGAGTTAAACACAGAGCATAAATCCAGGCCTGAACACCTGTTTTGGCCCACGCAAATTCACCAATGTTTAATTACTGATTCAGCTCAATCCTCTCTAATTATGTCAACAGGCAATGAAACTCCTCGCTGTATCAACACTGCTTAAAAAAGCACGTTAGAAGAGTAAATTGGCAGATACATTCCTCGGATTATACCGGTCAATGGAAGACAATGAAAGCAGAAGAAGGCCAACCAAAAGCCCAGTGTTTGCATTTACACCCCGTGACAGCGTAAGTGCGCCGGTTCTTGTTCATAGCACATGCAGACATCATCACTGGTGGACTTCAATATAGGAACCGATCTTAGCTTTGTCCAGACAGGGACGGGAATCTGGAAGGCCCTGGATACGCCCCACACCGTCGCCGATCGGTGGATTACGATGCTCTGCGAATAAATGAAGTCGTGAAGAGTGGCTAGGGGGCTTTCACACATCCCATCGAGCAGTTTAACGAGGAAGCGCGAGACAGATCCTACTCTTGCGGTTTAGAGACAATGCACAAACGCGCATTTCGCGGCACAACATTCCAAAGTTGGCGAAAAACTTCCCAAAGTAGGCACACGAACAAGAAAAGGGGAAAAAGCAACTAACAAGACTCTTCGGTCTTGGGATCACTTTCATCAATGTTCTTTGGGTGCCAAAGGAGGACTTCGTAGGCTCTAGAGTCGTTTTGGTAAGGCGGCTCGCAAGAGCCTAGAAAATAAAATAAAGGCATTCAGACACCAGCATCGACAATGGTCCGAATAAAAACGTTGAATGCTGACCTTCGACGAATTCCGGTACTTCAACCTGGTAAGCGGGGCCGATGTTAATTTTCCTTAGGCAAAAAAAGCACACGAAGGTTAACATATACAAGCTACTTTGCAGCCAAATGATGATGATTTTTTTTGGATTTGGGCTTTAACATCCTGGTGGATTCCCACCACGAGGCAAAAGTTGCAACAAGAGAGAAAGGCACATTTACATCATCATGGGTACTTAAGATAGAATGGACATTGAAAACACGTCGTACTGAACAATACGGAGTTGTAATAACATCAGGGAGAGGCAAGTCAAGAAACAAGAGCTTGTCTCAGCATACAAGGAAGCAAAACGCTGAAAGGGTAGCTTAACAACGTCACTATCAGAACTGATCATCCTACTCCCTTCCTTTATTGTCTGGAAATTTCCACTTTTTAAATAAACGCCACTCATACCGGCCCCCGTTTACGCTTTACATCTTTTTCTGTAAGCATTTTGTTAGTCTACCCACTATAAACTCACGAAACAGCACGATTCAGTAAAACTCACGGTTCAAAATTGCTTGGAACTCCAATATCCTCCACTATGTCATCTTCGTCCTCTTCTTCCACATCGACGTCAACTGTGTGACGAACAGGGGAACAACAACAGGAGGAAAAGGAACGAGAAGTACCAGTTGATGCACCACCAGGCGAATTGCTTTTAGCCTCCTCGGTATCGGGAGTGTCTCTTCTCCGTGAAACTACCACCAGTCCGTCCAGATCATCCTCGTCTTCGCCAAAGAAGAGAGACTTGGGCTTGGCCTGGTCTTTACCACCAATGTCTTCAACAGTCCTCATAATAGCTCTGGTCGCTGCCCCGAGGCCGTTCAAACGATCGCTATTCCCATCAATGCCACCACCCGCTTGGTCGTTAATCAAAGTCTGAAAAAACAATGAAAGCTAAGGTACAGACACCACCTAAAACAACAAAACAGACAATCAAGGATACCATTTAACGAATAAGATACTTGAATGTTTCGAAGCGAGCAGAGTGCAGGGTAGCACACCCATCGCCTCAGAACCGAGGGGTAAACGAAGACAAACATCCACGAGTTCCTTTGTGACATTGAAAAAGGAATAAGGTTTAAGACCCCTGTTATGTGGTGATACACGGGAAACGCTTTTTGACAAAGCAGAAAACTAGAAGTTGGGCAAAGCGCTACACGAGAGGTCAATGTGAATCAAGTTATCTACTTCTTGATTAGTGATGAGGGGTAGAGCGCAGAATTCCTCTGTTGAACATCTTGGCAAGGTTAGAATACATTTGACCAGTTTTAATACCATTTTAGGTCTATTTTCACCAGAGATCAAGTGGCTTTGTTAGGCTGCTCTTTCTGTCGCACAATGAAGTGAACGAATCGATATTGAGCTTGCTCTGTTGCAGAATCCTTTTGAGACAAACACTGGTTTTCTGACTCGCCTCTGCCTAGACTTATTTGACAGCAGTCATATTTTGATAGTCCACACAACCTCCCGTACCCACGGATTAAAGCACGCCTTTCCTTGGCTTGGTTTTTTTATGTCGCTGTTCGCTACATCCCGCAGTATTTGGACTAATGTGGGACATACCAAATAGCGACTCATATCAAACGGAACCAAAAATCACAACAAAACACTGCGAATGTTCTTGTTAAACATGAACGAACGTCCGATTAATTGATTCCTGTGAACCTCGCACGTAGTGGCTTTCGCTCAATGACTTGAATATCAGTCGTAAGTAGCATTCTTTCATATATTGACACATTGTTACACCGGATGACAACCATCTCATCGCCCCAGTCGTATTCCTCGCTTGGTCGCTCCGTGCCAAAGCTGATCGTCGGTCTCTACAGCACTTGTCCCAAATACGCGATCGTGACCCCCAGAAAAGAGGACCTATAAGATCCAGCAAGCACACCTTCGGGTTGATGTCTTGGCTGAAGTAGGAGGCATTCTTCACGAAAGCCGGCGCCGACTTCGGAGGTGCGGGAGAAGCCCTTCGAATTGGAACAGGAGTATTACGGGGCCTGAAAGTTCCCACAGCTGCAGCAGCAGAACAGATGGCCAGAGTTCGCCTGTTTCGGGCGATCGACGAGAAGAGCCCCGATCCCCGACGGTTGGGCGAAAGCATTGGCGGAGGGGTGTAAGGCGGGGGCTCTAGCAAGCCGCTAAGTAGATCGTTCTTAACGCTAGCATTTGCGGTGGGTCCACCAACACTGCTCACAGTCCACAGACGAGGCGAACGAAGACGCGAGGCGTTGAGCCGGTGTGCTGACTACAACAAAAGTGACAGCATAACCAGTAAGTGGGCAGGTACAGGCATTCAAGCTCTACTGCAGGGATTGTATAAGGTTGTCTTCCAGCACTCGGTCCTGACTCTTTATACTTACCTAGAACAAGCGTACTAAAAAGTTCAATCAAACACAATCACGCGCTCTCCAATCCCTGAATACTCGGAATTAGACATCGGTTTCAAGGTGGATTTCAGTCCTTATGCCACAAATCGGAGCTTGGAAAAAAACCTGGAAGTCCTACCGAGGGTATGATAATTGGAGCCGGTTTCCTCTTCTGTTTTTTGACAGACGGTGGAGGAGCCTGGGGGTTTCTAAATACACTCGGCTCGTCGGAAAGCAACACGCTAACGGGTTGAGCCAATTGCGCGGTGGACTGGTACTTGTGGCTGGGTACGGAACTCAGTTGAATCTGCTCGTAAGGCTGCTGCTGATGTCGTTGCTGTTGCTGCTGGTGAAGTGGTGGGACGGTGTCCACTTTGGGCGTCGTTGGACGTCCATAATCCTCGTCGCTTTCCAGGGCCAAGAGGGGGTCAAGGTCATCGGGGAAGAAGACCCTTTCCTGGCTGGACATTATGGGGACTGAATAAGCAGCATGTGTCGTGGTGGACGTGTAAGAGTAGGCTCGGGGATGGCCGGCGTACGCGTGGTGCTGAGGAGTCATGGGATGCCGCATGACCGACCTGCACGAAATGACACAAGCATGGGCGAATAATCCCGAGTTAACACACCCAGAAAACAACATGAAACTAGAAAAGTGAAACCGCCAAATTAAAAAGTGGCACGATGAGAGTCGCAATTGAAGGTAAAGAGAAAATACGAAAACCAATGCGGAGCCGACATTTTCAGCCAAAACTCGAATTAGGGACAATGCATGAATCCTAGAAAGCGGTTGACACAACGAGGAGAGCGCAACAATGATAAAAGCATTGGAATATACTGCTAATGTTTTGCATGATTCTTCTAGAGCAGTTTCATGCACATTTTTTGTGTCAGGTAATAGATTGTCAACGGGGAAATTGAACTTTAAAGAACGAGAAATACAACTTTTTCTTACAGTTACATTTGGTTATTTGTAAATTGCAAATTGAAGTGAACCAGTTAATGGCCAAAACACAACTGAGGGTTGTTTCGGCGTTAATTAGGCTACAAGCAAACTGTGTTCCCCGAATCAATGTCCAGTGACAATTGGATCACACTGATAGTAAAAATTGGCTGCTTGGGTTCTAGCCACTGCAAGCGGTCCAAGTGAAAAATCGTGCACCATACCCATCAGCACTAATATTCCCACAACAGACACTTCGCGGACCGCTTCCAACAGGATGGCGCTGCTGGTCGTAGACGGGGGTCTGCTGGGCGAAGTGCGGAGCGACAGGGGAAGGGAAGGCAGTCGGCGTCTCCTGCTTGACATCCTGCTGATCCGCACTAGGGTAAAGTGGGGTCCTTCCGTGCACCTGGTACACCTGTGAGTGCTGGTGGGAACGCTGACGATGAGGCGAGAACTGTGCGGCTGGCGTGATGGATGGCGACGAGGACATAAAGGGCTCCACGGAGGGCGGTGGGGGTGGAACCCATTTGCCTGGAAGTGACGACAGCGATTGTTTACAGGGGTTACCGCATGGGGCAACAACTCTATTGCCTGCCACGGTATGAGCTGACGCACTTCCCTATCAGTTTGTTACATCCATAATACACCACAAATCAAATCAAAATAGTGATTTAGCATTTAGAGGGGTCTGTTATTTACGAGGATGCGGTGCCGCAGATGGCGGGCAGAATGAGAGGGTGACGGAAAAGGAAGAGGGTTGAAAGTACGTTATTCGGCTGCAGGAAGTTGAGAGCATAACTATGCACCACGTAGCTAATGCTCAAGTCATTATTCCTAACATAAATTGGCAGGTAAGTGATTATAAGCGGAAAACTTTTCTTTTGAAAAAAAAGTAGAACTGGGGACTTGACGAGGTGGCAGAACAAAAGCGGGCATCACTGACAGTGAGGGAGTACGAGAATGTTGCCTCGAATGCAAAGGACAAAATAAACTTAGCGCCGGCGGTGGCTCTGGTGCAGCTATTAAGGCGGCAAATGCAACGAATAGAACCAAAATTTTTGGAACCAATGAAGTGATTCAAATAGTTGGCGGAAAATCAGGCCAACAAACCCCTTGCCAAGGGTAAGCCTTCATTTTCGCCAGGTTATACGCCTAAACGGCACGATTTGATGTGGGTTCCGATCACCATTATCCCCTTAACGCCTACCAAAACCAGCCAACCACACACGAAAACCTCCTCTGCAGTGGGGGAGAAATAAGACATGACATGGTGCAGGAGCTATGGGGCGTTGACCACTTGCGACCGCAGATTTAGGGTCAACTGAAAACGAGGCTAAATAGTTAGACTTGACTAAATACTAAGCTGATATAATGACGCTGAAAGAATACCCATACGATTTCTTAGCAGGATTGACTACTCTGACGAAGCAGTATGAAGTAGATAAGTCTAACATGGATCTGTGGGCTCGACGGGAATGACAGTGGATAGCGGTAAAAGTGGTGAAGATCACTGACTCCAATGAGTTGCAGGAATCCTGACGCAGACTCTACCTAATGTCGCTTTAACCTACCATATACTTGGACGGGAACAAGCTAAAATCAAGTTCCAGGTTCTAAACTCTCAGGCGGCATACTACACCACTCTGAAAGTCTACTTAAATAATTTAAGTAGACTCACTAGGTTGGGATGCTGGCTCACCAAATGGCGAAGACCTAGGTGGACACACGAACTGCATAGACTGTGTGTAAAATTCCTTGTTTTTTTGAGATACAGGTGGAGGCGGCGGTAAAGGGGGCGAAGTGGTGGAAAGGAGGGCTTCTGACGGAGGGAACGTGAAAGCTGGTGCTGAGGTTGAGCTAGAAAACCCAGATGACGCAGGGGTTATGGGCGAGTAGTGGGGCTGGGGGCCTGAGGTTTCCGCTGTCGAATAACCAGGAAAGAAACCAGCCTGTGAAAAAACCGGGTCCCCTGAGACCGCAACTGCGGCAGCCGCACAAAAGGCAGCCAGGGGGTCGAATTTTGAGCCTGGGAGGCGCTGCTGAGAGGGATAAGCGCTATGAAACAGGCGTGATGATGACGATGATGATGATGGTGAAGAGGGCGCTGGCGTTAGGCGGGAGATGTAACGACCTGGGTGAGGGTTAGGGAAAACACTAGATAAGCCTGTTAGAATTTATGAGGTGACAAATTAGCAAAATAAGTCGACACGCTTGATTCCTAAATCCGAATCAGAATCAATCATGCTAGTTGCCTACTCTCTATAACTCGCGCGTTATCAAAATAATTTCTACCGGTACCATGTCACAGTCGCTTATGGTGAAATTTATTTGGGATAGAATCGTCGCCTGTATAATAAAATTAACGATTACAACACCAATCCCCTGACATCAGGAGATGCAACAAATACATTTTTCAGAACCACGAAATCTACGTACAGAAGCCTGCTCTTTTAAGTGAAGGCAGAGATGTCTTGACTGCGAAACTCGTCCGCAAGCACCAGTTGTATTTATAAAATTGGGTGCGATTGATGGCTTTTAGTTGAACAAACCTTGATCGCGAAACGCGGTTGTGCCAATTGGCTGTGTTTCCATCAGGCGCAAGTTCGATGCGACGGACGAGAAGAGCAGGTCACTCTCGACTCTGTCGCCGATCTGCGGATGCTGAGGCTGGAACCAAGCGAGCCCAGGGGCAGCGCGGAACTGCTGCTGCTGCTGCTGTTGGCCAAAGGGCGCGCGCTTCCGCAAAGCGGGGTAGGCGGGGAGGGGCGGTGGAGGGTTTGGCGCGAAGTGACTTGCGTTCTCCTCCTGGCGACAAGTAGCAGAACAATCCCCAACACACTGAAGGTCGGAGTGAAGACGTGGAAGGCTCGAGGACAACCTTGAAGGCGCTGTTGGAGGATACGAGCCCTGCGAAGTGCATGACAAAGTTAAGTGACAACGAAAAAATTGCAATTGGTCAATGGAATTGATGAAATGTTCATTGGAATGCACAAATGCATACAAGCCAAAGCCTACCGAAGAACTTTCCGTGATTGAAGTAACTTCGGGAAGAGAAAATGGAGATTGTGTGGAGGGAAACATTGGTACACCTGGAAACCTCTCCTTAGTAAGCGCTGGGTTGAAGGACGACTGCTGCTGCTGCTGGAGAAGACCGGGAGCATGTCTGGCTGACCACTGACTGTTTACCAGGGAGGTGTTCATTGGCGAAGGCGCCTCCACGCCAGGAGAGGTGAGCCCCAAGTTTCGAAGTGAGTGCAGGTTGGCTTTGGTAGAAGAGCAATGCGGCTGAGGCGAAGGGGTCCTGCGTTGCGACTGGCTCGTATCAGCCTCACTTGCTGGTGTGGTCATAGTGGTCGTGGCTGTCGTTGGAGTCGCTGACCAATCAAAAACACTCGGATCTTCTGGCCGAGGTAATTGATTGCCTTCTGATAAATCCCTTAATATTATATCACCCATCTAAAAAACCATTACACATGAATTATTTAATAGAAATTTTAGTAATTGGTGCAAAAATAACAAGGAAGTGGTGGTTGTGAATGGATTCTGGTGTGCCAAGTTATGTGACATAATTCCAGGTAGTGCTCAACGAATGGCACACAGCGCTGAGATGAGAAAGACAACAACCAAGCCAATCAAAATTTGCAACTTGAGCATCACGCTGTAGTTTAAGTGCAGTGCCATTAAAGACGTGCACGGCTACCAGCGAAGGAAGACACAAGTATACATCGACGAGACCGAAAATTGTAATCTAGTCAGTATAAGCAGAAACAAAAGCATACCAGGGCCTACGCGAAACTAAGTGGTCGTAGGTGACCACAGGGCTAATCAGCAAGACAGTAACCACCGCGCTCAAAGCGCGTGGACCTCACAGAACTATAGGAACCGAGGATGAATAATGAGCACCGAACTTTGAGGCCATATGGGCTGGCCAACCCCAAACCACGTTGCATGGTTAAAAGACGGCAAATACAGCGAAATGCGCTATTTGTGGGGCGACAACACTCCGCCACTGGCATCTGTGTTAACATTCGCTAAGCAAATCTGTCAGTGACACGGACGACCACGAGAAGCTAGTGTTGTCGCACTTTCAACAAACAGGCCAATCATTCCTGCCCCCATTTTCGCTGCAACTGGGTGATCACTTCAAACCGTTGCCGACTGGGTCTCACGGTTCAACGGCCTTTGCGACCGCGTGTTTTGGGACGGGAGGAATCACAACCCGTGGCCCCAAAATCGACAACACCAAATTCACGATCCCCCCGGCCCACGTCATAAGTGGTGGAGGTATCCGCTTGTTAGGTGGTTCTGGGCATGCTTGTAGGATCATTACTTTTGTACATTAAATGCTTAAAGCGGTACTTAAGGTGATCCCAGACGAATAACTCCTTGGGGAATTCCGTGCCACTGTCCCGTGCTCGCTCTGTAAGACCCCCAGTCCGTTACAACCGCCACAAATTCGCACTAGAAACGGGCCATGTATTTGACAATTCGGCAGCAGCATATAAAAAACTAGCATGAAATTAAGGGAATAAAAGAACAATATGGGTACTAAAGGTCAGAACATACTGGACGATCATGGGTCGATGACAAGTGCTTTTTTGGTTTGGTTGCAGCGGCTCTGGACGATGAGGATGGAAGCGGCCCGAGAGGAGGCGAGGGCGGCTGTTGGGATGGCTGCGACCGCTTCCCGGACGAAACCGAAGAAGACGACGATGTTGAGCCCACATTGTTGAGTCCATATCCCCCGTGGAGACGCATGTGACCATTCAACGCCGACTGATTCTTGAAACGCCGCGGACAGACGGTGCAAGCGACTACACGAGGCTCCTCCAGAGGTAAAGCCATGAGAACTGCTTTCAGATGGTCAGAGATGACGGGACTAGTTCGACCGCTTCCACAACCACCGCCACCGTTATTGGGCAGCCACGGTGAACTCCTGTCACTACTCGCTAGAATGAAGAAATTAGAAACGTCAACGCAATTATTTGAGTTCAACAACTAGTTACGTCATGCTAAATCTTAATGTACATTCTCTTTACTCTAACAAGTGAATGATCCATTAAACGGAGAGGCATCTGCCAAAAATCGAGCGTAAACTTTTTTGAGGTGAACAAACTCCTGCCGTAAGCAGATATCACAGCCTACCCGAAAACGGAGTTGGTGCAATTTTGGTCGAAGTTCGCGGAGCCTCAAAACCATGTTAAACTTGAAAATCATTTAGGAAGTTGTGTCGGGGACAAGGAAACGGGCATGGTGTTTAAGATGTCGCTTTGAGGTATCCGCCCAAATACTCTGACTTGAACGAAGAGGATGTGACCACATGAACTTGGTGTAGGAGCTATGGGACGTTGACCACTTGTGACTGCAAAGTTAGGGTCATATGATGAATGGCCTGTTAACACTGTACCACAAGCAATTACTTAAAACTGCTGTCACGCGAAATGGAAACGACTTCATTCCACTGTGGTGCTACTCTTCAGTAGCATGATGGCAAATGGCGGAGGGACGACGACATGATCGACAGCCCCACAGGCCCGAACAATTCCAGTACATAACAAGCAAGGAGCTTTAGCCATTCGGACAATGGGTTTTCACGGTCTTGGTGAAAAGATGGTTCTGTTAGAATATGACTTCGTGAATTTTAATTGGTGAACTTTAAGATACCGGAGAATTACTTCACGTGACTTAGCGAGGTCTCATAATGTGTCGACCTCATTGGGCTCTCTAGACCAGATTCGACGTCATGGGCTTTCACAACGAGGACCAACAGACCATTTAAAGTATTACGTTTTCATAGCAGTTAGCATGTGTGCCACATTAAAAGTTACACTTAGAGGGTGCGCTCTCCGTGTGCTAAAATGCTATCCTTCTGATGCCACTTTATTTTGGCTTCGGGCGGAAAAGATAACCTAAATTAGTAGAGATCGCGGTGGTTCGAGTTGTGGTGTGAGAGGAATCACTACTGCCGGCCACGGAATGTTGGGCGTCACAACAACCAAAAACACAAAACAAGCAGAGTTGCCGTGACGACCTCTTCGGCTTATCGACACGTGGAGCCACGTGGACGGCCGGGGGGGGCGGTCACGAGACACGCGCCTTTGGGGCACGAGATGCATGCACAATTGTGCGCCGTTAAATCCTCGCGATAGCGCCTTAGCATTTCACGGATTGGGTGGTTGGGGCAGAAGCAACACACAGCGCTAACAGATTGGAAAAGGGGAACTCGAGAATGGAGACGCTACCTTAAAAAGCATCGGGGAAATAGAAAATCGACATTTATTATGACGTGCCAACTACAAAAGCGGAATGACGTAATTTCAAGTCAACTTTTATTCGCATAGTCAATAGGCACCAGAGTCCGTGGAGAAGACGCAAACGAACACAATACCTAAAAGCGGGTCAGTACTACGCTTTATTCATCTTCACCGGACAGATTCGAGGTTGAGGCTGGAACCAACTAAGGTGTCACACAAACCAGCCCGACGTAATGACACACCCCAAGGACGAAATTGAATCTCTTAACGAAGGACGTCTGGTTGTGGAATAGAAAGTGACTGAATTTTGAGCAGGTAAAAGCGACAGCTATAGGCAGTAATTTGGCGCAGACCATGTGGACTTTGGCAGGCAAAAAATGACGGGCAGAATACAGTCCAGATCGGTCTGCGTGCATGGGAGTTAAAAAGCCTGGTGGTGAATCAAGTTACTTCATGAAAATCACCACGATTCACACATGACTGCTCACCATGTTTATTCATTTTCCGAGGTTGTCTGCTGAGCCGCCGACCCTGCTTCCGACATTCACCACTGTGGACCGAACCGCCTGTACCTACGTAACTAAACCACACGGAAGCCCATATCCAGGCTTTCAACAGTTAATTCACGTTAGACGCCCGATACGTTCAAATCTTCCGGCAAAAGTTGCTTTTCGTGAAAAGAGGAGCAAGCAAAGCGAGATCACACATAGTCGCCCAGCTGATTCCATGTCAGTACTCGAATTCACGCTGTCAAGAAAGCGTAAGATGAGGCACCAGTGGAAGCTTGGAGATGTACAGAACTGATTTCAAGTCAAAACGTTAGAGCTGCGCTGAAACCAAAAATCCCTAGGCTTAAGGTTTTGCTAGTCGTAATACCTATTTGTTTAGACATCGAAATCAAAATAAGAATTTTTCTACGATTTAGAAGCATGGACGACGGCAATCTACAACCAGAATAAGATGCATGTGTATCACGTTACACGGTGCCACACATGACATGAACATATTGAACACGCACATACGCGCGCACAGCATTCACCAATGGCTCATCGGATGTTGAATGCGCAACAGGTGCGAGAAACGCGAGTGCAGCTCGCGATGCCGGCCCCTGATTGGCTACAACTAGTGACGTCACGATAATAAGAATGAATGTCACGACGCAGTTACCCGCCTCTACAGCAGACCAGTGATAACTGGATGGGATTGGGGGGCTTGTAACAGAAAGGTCTCGTGTTTAGATGCTAATAGAAAAACAAATCTGTAGTTTGCAAACGAAATACATTTGTGGAGCTGACCCGAGGTCGATACTTCAAGCTTGGTTACGTATACGTTGCATGGGCATTCGAAGGGCCTTACAGCTGGCCAATTACTACAACATTTTCGATGGCGCTTTGTCAATAAATCATTAAATCGTCATCAATACTGTGAGACTGAAAGGGCAATGCGTAACAGGCACGGAGTGATTAATCCTAGACAACAGGCATTGACTTCAGTGGAGGTGTCTTGCATTTCCTATGGCTAGTCGCCTAATTTATCACAAGAGTTTCAATGTTAGGGAGAGGGACCAGAATCCAAAATCGCCATTCTTACTGACGAACACTTTTGTGTAAATGTCAATAGACTAGATGAATTAGGGTTCAAGCAATACGATCTCCCAAGTGAGGTCACCTAAAGGCGGCAAGACTGAAAAAAAGAAACGTGCATAGCTGGAAAGAGAGAAGAGGCGATATCGTTGCCTGACTTGTGATATTACTGCATTAATTCTATACATTTAACTGGGTGCACACACCGAAATGGCCGATCTCGAAACACAGCATCGAAGCGCAATCCCAGTTCCACTTTTGAGTGTTGTGACACTTTTACACTACGTTGGTGACTACCACCATGATAAAACTTACGAACCCGTCCTAGCATAGTCGCAGGGATAAACTAGTAGTTTGCCCTAGGACCTCCCTAGGAATCAGAAATACTTCGGAAAACATCGGAGGTTGATGATGCATTTCCTACATTGGTGACGCACATGCAAAGACACGTCAGTTTTACACGAATTCAATGGTGAGCTACAAAAATCAATTGTCACCTCACAATGAGTTGTTTTCAGGTGATCTCGTAACCTCAAATGAGTATCTTCAAAGTGCACGAAAAACGTTAAGAGTGGGACAAAACAGCATTGCCCGACTAAAGTATTTTGAACTGCACAGACACGGATGGGGAGTTCTGTTAGATAGTCAAGGCAGAAACGTCCACAGGAATACAGGAATGTCAAAATTGTGCGCGAATCCTGGTGCCCGTGTGAGAAGGCGGTGGCAGGCTTCTCGATGGCTCTCGATGAGGCGTAGAGGCGCTCACTCGAGGCGGGGAGTGGCTAACACATTGCCGCGCTTCAATCTCGTTAAGTATTCCTGAGTGGCATCGCACAAAAAACACCCACATGCAAACAAGCACTTGTAGACAGAGACACACACACACACAATATAAGCGCATAAAAATGCGCACGATGAAACGAAGAGACACGCGAAAAACTGCACGCATCGAGTCTGTATTGCTAGGAGGAAAGCCACAGCCCCGGCTAAGAGTATCTATCCTTGGCCAGCCACTTCGTTACAACAAGAATTCACAGATAATCAAACAGGGTATTCGCAAGTGTGTGACAGCCAAGTGATCGCGAAGGCTATCACGCGAGCCAGGACTCCCAAGTGACACCACCACGCGCTTGTCGGACGGAAAAACGCAAACGTAGGGCTTGCGTGGCCAAGTTACGAAGAGCCGCTACAGCGTCCTTTAGATGAATTCAACGCTGTCACCGTGTCACTTGGTCGCACCAACCAACTTGACAGGCAATATTGACAAACAATCAAAAGACCACGAACTGACAAAATAAGAAGCACCAACAAGGTTCCCTTGGCATACTACCTCATCACATTAGGCAACCAGCACACAAACAGTGTGCTATTCATTGCCACAGCATCGGGAATGTACTACTACCATGGCAGGCCTCAGGTTCGGCATTTTATTAGATTAAAAAAAGACGATGCCGATATCGAACACCAGAGGTTCGGGTGATTGAGACGCTTTAAGAAGTAATATTATTAGACAACACAGAGAGAGAATCATGGGAAGGTACACGCACGTATTAAATGCGAGTGTTTAAGAAGTCATTTTTCCAACACAGAAAACTACGGAATTGCGGACATAATTACCAAGTCAATTAGCTTTCTGGATTTCCCAACCTAACACTCTCAATATCCGGGAGGGTTTTCGTGGTCCGCTTTGTGGTCCCTGTCCATGAACGGTATGCACTAAATTCCACCAAACTAAACCATTAGACTTCGGGTATGAACCTCGCGCATTGTTATAAACCAAATTTTCTTCCTCGAGTTATTTTCACGCTACATTTGCATGTAAGTCTTACAGCATTTGAATAAATGACACAAGTACATCCTGGAAACTAATGGATGCACCTGATCTCAACATCTTCGACTTTCTTGGGCGTATATGGCTGTCGCATACGGTCTGATGCCTAAATAAACACACACACACACACAACGAATACAAGCAAGTTCGAAGCCGGTTCAAACACGAATTCAAAAACACGCGTGCACGAGTCAAGTAGTCACGGTGAGCAACTACCGCGGCGTCAAGATTTACCTCTATCGCGTAACGGAACAAAAAACGCACAAAACAAAATCGCTATTTGTTATGCTGAAATTAAAGTCCACACGACACCTGCAAGCCCATAGGAGCTGACCAGCGTGCACGAGAACCTCGTGGCAACAGGGGATACATACAGACACTGAGATTTAATAAAATTGGTGCTGATGTGACCCATGCATTGGTGCATAGAGTCACGGCTTCAAGGGAGTTACGGCAGCGTTCCAGATTTCAAAATTATACTAACTTTATGCTTTAGTCCTCAACAAAGAGGAGCTTCAACGTGAAAGCGGGAGCGATCAAAGTACCTTTAGCAGCGACCAATTGTTGTGCGAGGGTAGCGGCACCACTGGCCCCGTTGGTGGTGGAGCAGGACGACGTGGAGAGTTGCGTCATCTTCGCCACGGCCTCGACTATCGTGGCATCGCCTTCTTCAGCCGCGCGTGAAAGGAAACACCACGACTCGTACTCATCTGGGTGGGCGTTCTCGTAGTGCCGTCGTAAGGAGCGGGCGTCGCTGTACGACTTGTCGCAAAACTGACAACCATGGGGTTTCTTCGAGGCGTGCGTGAGCTTGTGGCCGTTCCTGCACAGGATTTAAAAGCGTACATTGGTAATGCAAAGGTGTGCTAGTGAGCGCACTTTTTGGCTTATCAGGAGAGAAGCTAAGTCCTGCTCTGGTTCGGGCTAAAACCACGGAGCAAGTCTTACACACAGAGACAGACCTCCGAACAGTGTAATAGTGCCTAAATTTGACATAATAAGAGGGCGAAAAGTCACATAAACGATCGGTCAACATCTCAAGCCGATACCAGTTTGAGTGTAAAAAAACAACATGACTTCACTAAAAGTTACGTGCATTCAGGCATTCTAGGGGTCAACTGGCATGGCTGGGCATTGAGTACGGTGGTCCACCCAATAGTGCTTTTAATCATGGCAGCTTCGACTGCGCTTGGTAGACCAGGGTTATGCAATCAGTCACGCGCACCGGCCGTGTCTGGGCTCTCCACTACGACGCCCCTTCCCACCCCCCCCCGCGCCTCCCCCAGCGCGCCTACGCAAGCAGCGATGCAGCATTGATCCCTTGGCGGCCTGGATTCACCCGATCCCAAGCAAAGCTCCGGCCACTTATCAATGAGAAAAACAACATTACCGGGGTTAGGGAATTCCGTTTACAGCGTTTTTTTTAAAGAACACAACTATATTCACGCATTCATTTAGGTTAACCATTTAGAACAGCGTTTCGGAAACCTTGACGGAAAGTGTGTGGATTGCACATAGCATACTGTGAACCAAACTAGTCAGACACCAGATTTAAAAAAATAACCAAAATCCTGTATTAGACCTGATTATTTACAACCTTGGAGGTCGATAATGGAATTTGTTACTTGTCCTATGTAAGCATTGGGCAATCTACAAGTTATTCGAAAATAATGCATTTCAATTATTTGTACATATCGGAGGCTGATGTGCTGAGAGTTTAACTCTGCTTCAGCATGAGTTTCGAGTTATTGGCCTATGGGCCAGCAAGGTTGGGGCGTTGTTGGTCGACCCCAACACACAGAAGCCAATGGTTCGAAGCTGATAGCGACACGCCTAAGATCCCCTCGAAATTGAGAATTCATCTCTGCCCTCTAGCGTGTGCGGCCTCTAAAACGACCTGCAGACTTGGTGGGACAACGTCCACCGAGGTACTGGAACCGAAACACGGCATGCAAAAGGGATGTACTTTATGATTTAGCAAACACACATCAGAACAGAACAAGGAAAAACTGAGTGCCTTGTGTGCAAGATTGTACATAAATTCGTGAGCTACACAAAAACTATACACGAGAGACATTAATGGCATGAACACAACTTCGCCCTGAGTCTAGCACAAAAAAGGCGCTTTTGAGGCAGTAATCGCACGCGCACATCCAAATTTCGCATACACACTGAATATCAACAACCAGTCCGCATTTTTTCCAACAAATGACCCATGGTCTTTCCGGAATTTAACTCAGGGCGTTTTAAAAGCACCATATAATAGAATAAGTCGGGATAAAATTGCCTACTGCCGTTTTCATGCGCATTTTTCGCATTATCAAAGCGATAAATGCGGCTGTGTTAAGTCGAACAAGTGATAATGAAATCAAGTTAAGTAGTAAGTCTTTCTTAATTTGATTTTGCCAAGATATCCTCACATCCGCCGAGGTGTCGCTTAACAAATCCTCATAAACAACCAGCAGGGCTAACTGTAACGAAACGCAATGTACTTTGGTCCCGCTAACAATGGGTAGCTTAACGGACCGCTGAACGTAAAGGCTAAAATCAATCTTAGCAAGACAGGAAGCTCTTTAAAAACTACGACGCCCCGTGTCGCGAAGTTACAACATTAGGCATTACATGGGCAGGTCAATTAAAAGGCTCATTTAGGTGAGAAAATCACAGAAAAAGCTACCAATGAAGAGAGCAAGTAAATCGAAATTGAGGAACAAAACAGTAATTTGCAAATGTGCAGAAAATAAATGTTCGTTTACGATGTGTGTAAGCTTCATACACCCGGTTAACCGTCACGCCATAGGTTCAAAGACAGACAGTCAAACGGTCACACCGGGTAGAGGTCGATCTCCTCTTGGAATTAAGTAAATTAATCCACCAACTTTATTTGACATTGGACCAGCAGTTACATCACTTAGAAGGGGCGGAAGCGCTGGCTAAACGAGCGAGTTTCCGCCAGACGAATTTACCTTTTGTAACAACGACTGCATGTAAAAATGTCCCAAAAGATACTTAGATCGGTGGTGAAATAAAAGAACATTTCGAAATTGATCCGCTTGCCGATTCATGTGCTGCGACGTAATGATCCCACCGATGTGAACAAGAATTAAGGACGTCCAAAAGAACAAGATAAATTTGGTGGCAAGTCAGCCAACTTGTCGGCATGCATTAATGAGGTGGAAGTTCAACTCGTAAAAAAGCCTCTTTAATAACAATGAGAGCTCTCCTACAACAACAAATGCACACCAAGGAATCTAAAAGTGACAGCTCGTTTTTGAGCATGGAAACCAGAGGACACGATCGCATCAGTGGTCACAACGGGGCCCAAGGTGTTGAAACACCGGAGGCAGTCTTGGCTGGGTCGGGAAAACACTCATGAACAACTAAAGCTGCGCGAGATGAGAAACACCCCGACTTCGACTTCTACGCACAGACACAAACAATAGCAATCTGGCCAAGTGTTCCGAAGGTGGCTGTTCTGTTCCATGCAATCACTTACTCCCAAGCCCCGACAGAAATTAAGCAAGTCAAATTTGCGGCATTTACTCATTACCCAAATTACACGTGGGTGTTTGCAATTTGATTGGAATAAAACACAATAATAAGCAGAAATAGTAATTTCATTAAGTTACACAAAGGCTTTCTAAATAAGATCACTCTGCAGGAGTTAATTATGACTCCAGTTGCTTTGCCAAAATGGCCATCCTCTGGCTACACTTCCTGAATGGGGAGGATGGGGCTAAAGAAGCAAGGCCAGATGAGATTCGAAGACGACAACGAAGCAGACGAGGGACCCGTAAGATTATGTGCGTACACACGAGAATTCGACTCGATGGTAGGTTAAATAAAATTGGCTCTAGGCTTGCCTTGTTAGCTTGCGTGTTAGCTCATTGATACAAATGTGTGTGGGTTGTCGTAAGGCGTATTTACTTGACTCGTCACTCGTAAAGAAACTGCGTATAAGGAATTCGGCTAGGCCTGAAGTCTGTGTGTACAACGTATTAACCTTACGCAGAACAAGGGGTCTGGTCCAAGTCGGTTCTGAATAAACCCACAATAAAACGGCACCGTCATCTGTTAAACGCGACGCACCACTGAGAGCGAGTTTAAACACGCTGCATTTGCCTAACAAGTCGGGTCTATCCTGCACAATAAGTTCTGTTTATTACTAAAAAACCGTGATGTTTTGGTGGCAGCCTTGGACCTTTTTAGGCCGTAAACTCCATTTGCGACCACGTCTAAGTTAAGTGGCCTGGTCAAAACACCCAGAGATGGAAAGTGACATTCAAGGACGCCTAGCTTACCACGACGGAATGGTCAAATGTAATTACCAATAGATTCAACAAATACACAACAATGAAATAGGGGTTTGGTGTTTGGTGAAAAGTGCGGATAAAATAAGCGGTCAACTTCCGGCCAGACAATGGAAGCCAAGGGCGCAGAAAAACACCCAGGCGAAGGCCCCATTTCCCTTGTACACCCACCTCCTCGGAGGGAAATAAACGCGTAGATCCCAGGAATTAACGTTGACGCCAAACAAAGTAATGGGACACGACTGCCCAGCACTTGCTCACGCCTCGAGAAGCGGGAAGGCGTGGGATGTGACAAAAAAGGCAACAACAGATGGAAATGAGTTCAGAATAAGTGGAAAAACAGACCCTAGGGCGGCTGCTTGAATGTGCGAAGAAGCATCGGCAGCGGCTGCACCACCACCAGCAAATCCATGGAGCAGCGACAACACGGGTAGAATTTGGGTCGCTAAATGCGTCAAATTCTACGGATGTACAAAATAATTGTCACGATAAAACAAAACCAACAAATAACGCTTCAAAACGAAGTAGGCGGGATCTCTGGCATTCAAACGCACGACAGATCAGTGGATGAGATCAGGAAATCGAGTTTTTAATGTTTGTAATTGTACTTATTATAACTGTGAAGCATCTGGTTTGGCAGTATTTTTGCATAGTCATCATGACTCATTAAAGTATCCCAACTTATTTTGAATTGGTACAGGAAAGAAGGGAAGAAATTAGTCATTCGTAGAAACTGTAGCCAAAATTGCGTATGCGGATCACGGAAATGGCAATTGATTTCATATCAAAAAGTTGTTAAGCAAATGTCTTAATCGTAAGTTTGGATGCGTCAATCTGAAAATGAATGGGCTTTAAATATTCTAGAAGTAGTCATCGTAATCAGGCACTTGTGAAAACCTCGCTTCTTCAAGTAAGGGTGCACGGATCACTGGCGATGGCCAACAGAGGTTCCAAAAAGACCGTTGAGGAGAGCGGAAACGAAGTTCAAAAGATTGTAATTAATCAGGTGGGCTGATACAACGCAGTTCGTCGAAAACTGACGAGTGGGTTTGATCACGTAACTCCAGATAATTTTACTGGAAAAAAGATCGAAATTGTAGAATCCACGGTCTGCTTACCCGGGATGCAGATATTAAAATTGCATTTAACATTCGGTTCAAAGACCGAGAGTTATGGAGTCATGGGAAATCAAAGCATGGAACAGCACCCTCGTGGATTGCAGCTGAAATCCCACTTGGAGAAGAGACAACTAACTAAAAAACCGAAGTACGCTGGTCCGGTAAACAAACGGAGAAAGATGATTTGCCGTCAGGCCGCCGAACTGGAGGTCTCTGTGAGCGCAGAGATAGGATGCATGTCAACTAAAAGGAAGCCTAGTTCTAAGATTGTGCCAGATCGGCAAAATCAAAAGAAGTGGCGGCAACCACAGCACCAAAACGATTCGAGCCAGCGTGTTCACGTGACGGAAAGCAAAGAAAAACAAAAACAGGTGGGAGGATGCAACTTATACACCAGACGTGGGTGTTACATCTACTCGAATGCCAAAGGTCAGATGCCCTGCGCCATGACAGCTCTCTGCTGTAAGGAAACAGAAGACGCTTCAATTGAAAGAGCTTAATTTATTTGGCAGTAAACCACACTCGCGCCGAATACAGCTTTGACATAAACGAGTAACCGAGCAAGTTGTTTAGATATTTGAACTAAACTCAAACGTAAACCCATTAATTACGGTATCAGTAGACCAGGTGAATGAATCGTCTGTTTTTCCAAAGTGGGTACACGCACCCGGTAGTCACATACGAATGCAGTCTGGTACTTAGCTTAGGAATGGCATAAAAAGTTACCTCCCCGGCTTCTCTTCATGCTATTCTAAGCCATGTTTGCCATTTCCAATCAACGCTCCCTAAATGTGCCGCAGGCTTCCGTTGAATTACAAGTGCCTGCTGCCCAAAGAGGACTGGTACCACAGTTTGTTAACTGATAATTATGAGCCAACCAGAAGGAAAGAAGATTCGAGTGCGGAGGATTTCCACATCTCCCTGGAGGTCGAAGCATGTCTTGTGTGAGATGCCTTCGAGAGTGCAGCCATGAGCTAACTACTCCGAAGTTAGACACTTAGCATCCGAGGAAGGGACTATTTTGCAAAGCCTTTGTTATTTTTCGACCGCCAGTCACACACTACGTTTATGCATGCACTGACACAAAAAAGGTTTAGTTGCCGAACAAACTCTTGTGGCAACCTCGCCGTATCGTCGTGCCCCCATCCTCCACCTTATTCACGGATTAAAATAATAACAGGATTGTAAGGTAACCTTGCTAATTGCTACCTAAGGGCACTAATAACTATTCTGTTAGCCGTTGTTTCCACCGACTTTACTAACCAAGCATACTGCCATGCCAAAGTAGGCGATCCCACGGCATGAGGCAGGCCGCACGTCTAGGACTGGCACAGGTGATTACCAGCAGCACTCGATACCAAATGGTAACAATTGCATGCTGCCTGAATTAGCCATTGGTTGATTTTAACGGATAGAGCATTTGAAAGGAACGAAAGAGCGAAATCACAGATACCGAGAAGACGAGGCCCGGGAAAGCAGGATTATTTACGGCGCATAAAGACATTAATGGCAGCCTCCTTACGCGATCAGTGAGACCCACAACTTTTCCAGAGCACCACAGAATGACTTACAGACAAGTTCTTGCTAAGTACATAGGTGGTAAACACAGGAGACCCAAAGAAAAACAGGTTGACTTTCGTCTTTACTCGTTATAAAATGAATTTGAGAATTTAAAAGCGTATTGCAGACGGGACAGAGCATTAGTAAAAAACAACCCACAAGGTAGCCCAACGTGAGCACTTGTTTGTCTGCACACAGTGCCCTATCGATGACGATCAGTGTTATTTTGCCCGATTAAGCAGATTAGTTCATTGCTTGACGGTTGGAGGGTTTTTCCCTAATGGAACCAACCCAAGAAGTAGGACTCGTTTATTAGGGCACGCGTTACAGGGGGCTGCCAGAATAATAAAATTGGTCGCTGCTAAGTCTGTTTACCACGGCAGAACGTTTGAGGAGACAAACCCGGGACCATGAACCATGGCGCATGAACCGAGCTCGACAGTTAATGACTGCCGCACCGTTCCTCGCCCCTGAGGTTCGGCTTAAGCTCGAACAAAATGTCCTCTAATCTACCAGTGCCACGTTTAGTGTGCTGTTCTACGTTGGCTGGTCTGGCGCGGTCGACTCGCGCTGAACCAAAGCAGTACGTCACGTCCTGCACTTATGTGTTGCATGAAAATTACTAACTGGTGCTTTCTCATATTACATACATACCTCCGCATTATTAGGCTAAGATAGAACGTGTTACGATCTATTTTGTTGGTATTGCTGTTGTTGACGTAATTGACCTCGGTGTGTTTACCTGAACGATGGAACTCAAGTTTACTTGACAAGTACTGCGCACACTTTAATTGAATGGTGCTAGCCTGAAGACAAATTCAATCGCCAAAAAGAACGCAAAAATAGCGTAATAGCAATTTCCATAAGCCGACCTCTGGATTTTTTATCCGGATACTCTCAAAGGAGGATTTTTAGCAGAGTAAAAAACTCTTCGTTGAACTAAATGGTCTCGTCGTCTTCACGCGCTTTTTGCGTTAAATACTGCTGTTTTTTTACGAATGAGCGAACGATGTTTTGACAAAGGAACACGGACAGGATGAATAACCACTTGCACACAAAGACAGAGAATAGAGCCAGCTAATTTTAGTAACGACAACAAAAGGCGACGCCGGACACCAGACTTGCTATATTGATTCAAGGGGGAGGGGGCAGTGTCAGGACGAAACGCAGACAAGCTCAACACCAGGTATCAGACAAGCGCCACTTAATGAAGGCATATTAGCTGTGAATTTTGTCGCAGGTGCTGTTTCGGCAACAACGGCCGAACAGTTTGTCCGCCTGCTCATGTGTTAGGTCACAGCAGCACGAGACCAGAAAGCCGTTGAAAATCCCCTTTGACGTACAAGTGTGCAGTGGCTCACCGTAGCTCAATGAAGGATTGCTAATATTACGTAAATAATTTAGACAATTCAGACTGACCACTGTTGCATGCAAAACTTGGTAAAGAATTGCATAAGTGGTTATCCTCGAAGCTGTCGGTGCAGTTGCAGTTACAGTGGCAGAATAGAACGTGATACGTCCCTCGTTAAGCAGGACGCCAGACTGATGCTGGCTAGCGCTAAGGTAAACTCCAAGTATGATTAAGTGTGTTTGAGAAATTCGGCCTGGCCCACACAAAAGAAACTAAGATGACGACCGAATTGAAAATGCTTGAACGACGAAACCGAAGGTCGTGTCCACTCGGTCTCCCCAAACAACGCCGACAAATGACGTACTCAAAATTACTCAAGAAAGTAAGACAAGAACACAAGCGCGTTTAAAAAAATCGGACTAGAACTGTATCGCATTTGAGGTAGTTTCATTCCCAATACTTTCCCTTCTGAGCTTACCAGTAAACTTGGACGCTGCAGCACCCACGAAAGAGGGCACAAGGTCCGACGCACAGTTTCCAATTGAAGCGAGGTGATGCTTGTGGTCTTGGTAGCGCTAATCATATGCAAGGAAATTCAGAAGCCTAAACCGTAGGTAATTTCATGGCGAAAATCACTGGAACAAACTTTGAGCCTGCTGTGACAACTGAGGACTGGGGAGCCAACCCAAACACTAAATGACGCGCAGTTTACTAGAAGTTGTGTCAAGCTCCCATGACACTAAATATTCGTGTTCTTTAAGACCACTTCTACACCTCCGCGCGCATAAAGGCCACCCGGAGAAAGAGATCGCTGATTGAAAAAAAAACTAAACGAAAACTTCTGTTTGATAAAACAGGATGATGCGTTTAGCTTTCTTTCGTTTGTGCGTACAGCTTGTAAGGAAACTTATTCAGCTTCGGAGGGTCCGATGTTGATAGAAAAAAAAAACCGTAGCTCGAACAGCTTAGAGAGGGTTTGATGATAAATACTTTCAACCGTGCTAGCGGTTCAAAAAGAAGAAGGTGCATAAACTAGACGAACATTTAGCGGAACACTAAGATTCAGTAGAAAGAGCGTTGAAAGGCTCATGGATGCTTAATAGGCAAGGAGCTTGTAGAACACAAACTAGAAATTTCGGCACAACAGACCAATTTCCAGGTTAAAATGCCGCTCAAGATCCCACAAGGGCAACCCAGAAATGCAAAGGAGCAGCTGGTACACAGGAGGAGAATCTCCAGTGTGTTAATATGCGCTCAGGCCGGAAACCGCGTTAGCGCAAAGTAGATTCGAAGAGAAAGTTGACGGGCTGCGGTAGATCGTTTGCCTCTGCATAATCTCGTCACGAAAGATGTATTCAAACGGGCTTGTGATAAATATGCTCAAACATTCATCAAGTTGCAGATGTATTGCTTCCAAAACATGGAATTATGTGCTGAAAGGGAAGCGCAGAGAGGATCTTCAACACTGTCGGGCCGAGAGCACACACTTCCTGTGACGCGCACAAATCAGGAAACCTCGGTTTGGGTGAGCTAAATAATGATGCTCACAGGAAATGCGTAGGAGGGTGTAATTTAAACTGTGGAAGCTCATAAATAACCCTCTCCAGTCTAAACTATGACTTCTTCTGAAAGAGCGAGGAAGGTATCGATGTGTGCACCTTAAATTTGAAAAAAAAATAGAACTCGCGTCATCAGGTACGTCATCACATCAATATATCGTGGTGAAGCCAATTACGAAAAAAAATTCGCAGGAAAATCAGCTACAAATAATGCGCACTGACTGACAAGTTTAGTTAAAAAAAGAAGGCAAAAACCGGAGGAATGGAAGTTAGCCAGAAAATAGAGTTTTCTGACCAATCAGCCCATAACAAAGCAGGGTGAAACAGCTAGGCTCAAATGATACCGTCGATTACCAGATTCATGTGATACATGGCCTCAACATGAACGTCGCCATGATTTGATTAAAGCCCGCTCTCAGCCACCAATTACGACGCAAAACAACACTGGAATTCGGAGAGAGAGCGGGCATATAGTGGATTAGCAAATTGATACTACGAAAATGCCACTGCGACGGGATTCTACGACAGCGCTAATTACTGGTTGGCCATTCAGCTGTCGGGAGTTTAAAATGGGCTCTTTAGCTACTGGTGAGTCCGATCACTAATTTTTTTAATGAGGACAAAGGAGCGCAGGGGGAGTACTACATCAATCCTTATAAAGCAGACTTGAGGGGGTTAATTCCAACGCCATATAACAATTCCTCATAAATCAGCAATGTAGGAGTTGGAGTCTTTGATTCTGCAAGTCATCTTACAAGTAACATATTATCCTGAGTGATGTCTTGCTGGGGACGAAAAAGTAGTTTCCCACCGCTATGCCCATGGCTAAGACTTTTGCCCATAATGGGAAATAATGACATAACTTATGCCAACGTTTAAACTACACCAAAAAATAAAAGACAAGGTTCGACTAGACATTTTCGACGTCAGCGTGAACAGTTCCGACGGAGAAATATAACATTTTAAATGGCAGGTTGAGTTAAGCGTTCCCATAGTTTAACAAAATGCTTTTCGGGAAAAAAGTTACATA